CCCCAATTTGAGATTTTAAATCCAAATATAAATATTATCTCAAATCAATTCTAATTTCATAATTTATCTTATTTTCATTGAATTGAAAGTGTCCATTTTATTCTCAGAAAACGAATATGCAATGGAATATCAATCTTAATTTCACAACCCAACAACAACAGCTAATCATGATTCTCTGGTCTCTGGCGGTGCTAATTTTAAGAACATTTATGAGTTCCCATTTTGCTAGTTGCGCTTGTTTTCTTCAAACGTGGCAGATGAGCTTACTGTTGAAGAAATAATTGGAAATCGATGAACGATTTTAGGCATGCCTTCTTTCTTTTCCAGAAGAAAAGAAAATTTTGAGTCTCTCATTGTTTAGGAATGGTGCAATAAGTCAATCATTATAAGGCTATCAGAAGTTAGAGATGTGGTGTAGGCCTTATCACTTATATCGAATGTCATGACAACGACTACTGCATAGTTGTAAATACAGACCCCGTAGATAGTTTCACATATAGTGGTGTAAGCGCAAATGCCACTCAGAATGTAATTTACCTCAAAGAATTGAAATATAGATACATGGACCCTATATATACCGACAAGTACTGTGTTTATCCTTACCTACTTAGTCTGTGTATTCTGTGTGTATCTACAATTGTATGCTCTCATCCTGTCTTTTGCAGCTAGGCTGGTTGAGAAAAATCCAGGTACTGTGTGTATCTCTACTTAATCTGTCTATATGCGTATTTACCCTATATATGTATGCAAAGACATATACATCCCATGAGGTTGACGATGATGGAAAATTGGAGAATGCCAAGGATCAATTACATTTTTTTGGGGAAGAAGGAGACAGTTGGTGAGTTTGGAAGTTGTAACAATATTAATTATCATGTCTCCCAGCTGTCCCCCCCATAGTTTTAAAAACAATATTTAATTTTTCAATCCTATTTTTTATACTCATTTTTCCAGTTTTCTACATTGATTTTACGTTTTGTTAGGCTATTTTTCATAATCTTCTACCTCTTAATCTTTTTTTATTTCAAAATATTCATTTAATAGATTTTATTTTTGAAAATTTGAAAATTTGAAATATAGATTTTATTTTTGAAAATTTGAACTTTAAGATTTTGATTCTCTATTTTATTTCTTAAGATCAAAACATAGCAAAGAGTTGTTTCAAGGGTATTTTTGCCACAAAATTTTAAGGGTAATTTTAGCTATTTTGATGGAGAGTATATTTGTCCACATTAAATTTTTGCGTTGAACTATAACTTCATGGTAGCCATTTTTATGATATTGGATACTTTTAACTATTTTTCAAGTCGCAATATTTAATATAGCCATTTCTCTAGTTGCATCTTAAATTTAATTGGTTTAATTGGGTCATAATCAATTTAGTTCGCAAATCTATTGGATGATATTTTGACTCCAAGCCGAAATTACCATATGGATTAATATTTAAATTTAAATAAGTTTAAATCTACTTAAAGAATTAGGTTGGGTTCAAAATCACCAAGCTCAAATTTTTTGAAAATAAAATTGGGCTCGTAAACCAAATAGATCCTAATCCATATGTTGAGTCCAAAATCACCCAAGCTCTAAAACCTAACTAGTGGAAACCTCTCTAAATAGAGGTCAAGATTACTTTAAAAGAATATAGAACTTCGATCTAAATTCAAGAACAACCATCTCAATCTTCACATCAAGGAATACTCTATCGACGTTTTATCGATATTTATTAAGACATCGATATTTCTATCAATATCAACATTTAAAACACTGAATCTAGCATAATATTATAAATGAAATATTATAAAGGAGTGCAACAAAAATGTGGAATACCCGTCAACAAGTGACTAATGGCTATTTTTAAAAACAATATTTAATTTTTTAATCCTATTTTTTATACTCATTTTCCACTTTTCTACATTGATTTTATGTTTTGTTAGGCTATTTTTCATATTCTTCTAACTCTTAATCTTTTTTTTTATTTCAAATATTCATTTAATAGATTTTATTTTTGAAAATTTGAAAATTTGAAATATAGATTTTATTTTTGAAAATTTGAACTTTAAGATTTTGATTCACTATTTTATTTTTTAAGATCAAAACGTAGAAAAGAGTTGTTTCAAGGGTATTTTTGCCACAAAATTTTAGAGGTAATTTTAGCTATTTTGATGGGGAGTATATTTGTCTACATTGAACATTGCATGGTAGCCATTTTTATGATATTGGATACTTTTAACTATTTTTCAAGTCGCAATATTTAGTATAGTCATTTCTCTAGTTGCATCTTAAATTTAATTGGTTTAATTGGGTCATAATCAATTTAGTTCACAAATCCATTGGATGATATTTTGACTCGAAGCCGAAATTAGACCATATGAATTAATATTTAAATTTAAATAAGTTTAAATCTATTTAAAGAATTAGGCTGGGTTCAAAATCACCAAGCTCAAATTTTTTGAAAATAAAATTGGGCTGGTAAACCAAATAGAGCTCAATCCATATGTTGAGTCCAAAATCACCCAAGCTCTAAAACCTAACTAGTGGTCAAGACTTTGAAGACTTTCGAAGAATATAGAATTTCGATCTAAATTCAAGAACAACCATCTCAATCTTCACATCAAGGAATACTCTATCGATGTTTTATCGATATTTATTAAGACATCGATATTTCTATCAATATCAACATTTAAAACACTGAATCTAGCATAATATTATAGATGGAATATTATAAAGGAGTGCAACAAAAATGTGGAATACCCGTCAATGAGTGACTATATAATTAAAGTCATTTTCCAGTTAAATTCTAAATACAATTCAAAGTTGTAGAACTTGTCAATCTGAAATTTGTCATGGAATTTTTATGAAAAACTATTGTTTGAGAGCTCTGATATTGGAGACCTCTCACTGACTTGGAGCAACATTTATTTTCTTTTCTTTTCATTGAAATTTTGTTTATATATGAAAGACTGAAAATTTCATTGAAAAGTAGTAATGTTTTTTCCTCAACTAAAAATTAAATTCTCTTGTCGTCTTCACTGTGAAAGATTACCTCAATGACTTGTATGCTTCCTTAATGGATAGGAAATTTCTGCAATTCGTTGACAAGACTTGAGAAACAATATAGGTTGCAAGGTTGGTTGCAAGGTTGATTGCAAGCCTTTATCAAAGGATACAACCCTTACATAAAAAATTGTGTTCATAAAAAATTTTCTCCCTATAATCGGGACCAGTTACCTGGGCTAGTAATACTATGACCAATGCATTACTCGAATTTGAGACCTCGATGCCTCAAGCGATTGCCATTGTGCCTTCTCGAAGAGCTCAACTTTGTATTTAGTTATTAAATCTAGCTTCAAGTTATTTCGTGGGTCAAACTAAATATAGCTGAACTGGTTAAAGTTGTGTTCATTAAAACTAAATATATATTTGACCAAAAAGTCGGACATGGAAGTTCCATGTGTTGGTGGTTGAACTAAAAGAAAAGAAGTTATTTTATGTGTGAATTTTCTTATAGTTATTAATTTAGTTTCTATTTTCATTTTTTCTGTTGGGAATGAATATATTATTTTTTGAGGCTAAAATAATGACTTTTTTAATTTTTATTTGAGTACAACATGTGGGGTGATAATTCGAATATGTGGCGGTGATAATTCGAACTCAAGACATTTTGATCGGAGATAGGTGCCTTAACTGGCGGATCCAGGATTTTACTTCGGGCCAGAGGAAGGGTACAAATACATATAAACATAATGAAAAAATATAATAGGATTTAGAAAAAAAAAGACATTAGAGTTGGTCTTTTAGCTAAAATTTGTAAGTTTGTGAGGGTTATTTACTAGTAGATTTTGTGTATTAATTAAACTTAATTTATTGAGTTTTTGTAGATTTTTCATTATTAATAGAGTGATAAAAATTATGACATTTAAAAAGATTACTATTATGAATTTAAATTTATTAAAAAATTTAATTAGATATACAAGTTACAATTATTTATTTTAAGTGAAAAATATATTTTTCTAAAAAAACTTTTGGAAAATCAAAATAGGCTTGAGATTCAACCGCATCACCATACAAATATATTTAAAAATTAACAAAAAAAAAAAGAAAAAAGAAAAAAGAAAAAAAGTTGCAAACTAGTTATGATTCGAACTTAGGAATCACGTGAAAGGAAAACTACCTAGACAAACAATATTTTGATTTTTTTTTCTTTTTGACATCGCAATATTTTGATTTTTATATAATATACTTTATTAATTTTAAGTAAAATTTAGTGCATCCGTCCCTGGTGTCTCAATATGGTTAATTGAAGGCTTTTACAAGTTGGAAAGCAACAATTATATATAAATATATATATATATCCGAAAACCTATAAATTTTTAATTTTAATTTAGGTCAGATTTTGAGGGATTGAAGAAGACTACAGTTGAAGGCTTTAGGAGAATAATGTTTTTGATTATTCTGTAATGAAAAAAATCATAAAAATATTGAATTTTGAATAATAATTTAACCTTAAAAAAATGTCTATATAACTAGAAATTTATAAATTTTGTGACCAAAATAAATATAATAATTATTGGGGCAAAATGACCTTGATATATTTTTGGTATCATATTCTTTTTTTTTTTGAAAAAATTACATAAACCGCGACGTATTATAGGATTATTATAATCACATCTATACATTTCTAATTTGATTAATCACTTCGAAGTTAACAAAATTGTTGCAATTAAACCCAACCATTATTACAATGTTAAGACATAACTAAAAGATATATCTTTGAGGTAGGGGTGCAGGTCGTTTCATATATATATATATTTTTGGGGAGATACTATATTATACTTTTTATAATTTAATAACGATTCAATAATGATTCGACATTATGTTTATGAAAGAAGAAATTAAAACGACTGCTATCTTGTAAGAATATAGTATCAAAATTCATCATATAATTTTCTAGAATTCATTTTATTGATAACATATGTAGCATTTGTTTTTTCATTCTCACATGATATTAATAATGGTAGCATGCACGCACGTATTACATAAACTTAATTTTATAAGACATGATCATAGTCGACCGGTCTTGAATTATTTTTATTTAGCGACATTCATAATTACCTATAACATGACTTTTATTTTAATTTGAAGTTTGAAGCCTCCTTCAATATGGTCTTTGGCCTGCAAAATTGCCAGGAGGATCATAGTTGCAAGTGATGAAAGTACCACCATTTCTACATCTCACTTTGGCACATCCAATTCTCACTGAGTTCCTCCACACCACTTGGGTGTAATGGCCGCACACCTTGCCAGGGGCGCATGAATTGGCAGTGTGATTGTAGAACTGCTTTTCATCCACCCACAATCGAACCGCGTCAGTGCCTGATAAACCGTGACCAGTACTCCCTGCGATATTCTCCCCATAAGGACCGCCTGAGTGCACTAATTGACAGTCGTTAATGCGTTGATTGGCATACTGTCGAGCAAAGTTCGCCACCCTCTCATCCCAATGAACGGGTCCGACCCCGACTTGGGCACGAGCAGCGTTGTGGGCATTAACAAAGTCGTGTGGGGCATGTTGAGCCAGAGAGGAGGGAATTGTGGTGAAGGTCAAGACACAGAAGAGGGAAAGGGAGAGCTTGAGAAGATCCATTTTTGTTTGGGTTTTGGAGTTTGGAAAATGGATGAGAAGAGATTGTTGTGGAGAAAATGGGATGGCCAATGCTTGTTATTTATAGGCATGGAAATGTGGAATATTATGTCAAGTAATATGAGAATTGGCTTTGTAGATTTTTCAAAAGTAGAGTATACATGGGCAATTTTTTTTTTAATAATAATAATTAGTAGTAGTTAAAATATATCTTTTTGGTTACTTTTTAATTTGCTAATTTTAATATATTAAAAAATTGATTTTAACAACACGTGGAGTAAGAATTTAAACTTTCGACTTTTTGGTTAAAAAATATATCTTAACCAATTCAATTATGCTTTTGTTAATACATAATAATTATTAGTGAATGATAAGGTTAAAAAACACATTATTATATATATATATATTTTTTTTTAATTTTTATAATTACATAGAAGGAAGATTTAGTTCTATTAACTTTTATATGTTGTGATTTAGTCCAAGTAGCTTTTGTAATAATTCAGTTTCTAAATTTTAGCGGGTAACAATTTAATCTCTATAGTTTCAAATTTATAACGATTTAATATTTTTATTGCATGTGAGAAATATTATTAGCGTGAAATTGATTTTTAGTATATAGCGATATAGTATAATAAAATTTAAAAATGCATTTGATCTTCGAGCGATTTATATATGATTTAGATTCGTAAGAAACCTCATTATGCCTTAAATTGAATTTTTATGTAAAAGACTAATAATTATGTATAAAGTTTAACGGACTAAATCGTTACGTATGAAGTTCTAATAACTAAATTATGTTACTTCTATGAAAATATTAGGGACTCAGATACATTTTTTAACACATTAAATATAACGATAAATTGATGTGTGTGTTTATATATATTATTTTTTTAGATGTAGTTTGAACACACAGTGTTATGTTATGTCTATCCTAACACCGTGGGGTAATGTTTTAACTTTTTGTTTCTCATTTGTAAGAGACGTTCAAAAATATATAAAAATTTTGAAAACAATAGAAAAGCTTCTTGTTTCTTATTTTTGTTTCCAGATTTTTTTCTAAAATATAAATAAAAAAAATTATTTTATAAAATACATTATAAATACAAAAATAAATATAACATAAAATATTTAATATTTTTTTAATTTACAATTTTAGAGAACGAGAAACAAAAAATGTTACCAAATATGTTATGTTTTTGTTCCAATAGAAAATAAGAACAATAAACAAGAAATAATTACCAAACATAATTATGTGTTTATTTATTAAAAAGATAAAGCGAGAAACCATGAACAATAAACCATAAACGAGATACGAAAAAATAAAAACGTTATCAAAATAGCCATAAACTAGTCATTGGGCTGAATTAACCATGATAGTTTCTAAAAACTAAAAAGTTAGCATGTTTGATTTTCTGTTTTTAGTTTTTGAAAAACAGAATTATTTGGTAACCCATTCAATTTTTTATTTTCTATCTCTAAAAATATTTTTAAAATGCTAGGTAGATTTCGAAAACCAAAAAGTAGTTTTTAAAAATATTTTTCTGTTTTTCAAATTCTCATTTTTTGTTATAATGCTTAACTTATATCTTTTGAGATATTTCTTGGGAGCAAATTTCTCTCTCCCTCTAAATCTTTTCTTATAAGAATTTTTCTATCTAAAAAGTTTCTCTCTCGCTCTAAATCTTATTTATTATTATCTCTTTTTCCAAATTTTTCATCTCTATATATATTTTTTATTTTTTCTAATTTATCATTTTCATTTCTCTCTACAAATTTAATATTCACCTAAAATTTTCTCTCTAAAATTGTGTCTTTTGTAGTTTTTTTTTTCTTTCTAATTTATTTTTTCTAGAGCGAATATCACTTTCTCTATCTAATACGTTTTCTTTCACTATAATTTTTCTTTATTTGTTATTTATTTTTTTCTCTAACAAATATATCTCGATATTTTTTTCTGTATTTTCATTATCAACTTTTTATGTGTGATGGTGAGAGATTACATTACCTAACTTTGAAATATATAACTTGGAAACTTTTCCTTGAAAACAAATTATTCCAAAATAAGAGTAAGAGAAAATATGGCATCATTTTGTTGGAAAACCATAATAAACCCAAATAAACTAATTCTAAAAAAAAAAATTAAGAAAATGGATGAGGTTTTTTTGGGGTAGTTGCTCAAATTAAATGTTCATAAGATTGCGAATAATTTCTATAATTTAGAATACATGTATTATAGGCTGAATGTCCTAGGTCTCTGAACTTTTGAAATACGTATTTTAGTCTTTGATTGATCGTCCCTGGAATTTCAAAAAACAAAATTTTTTTGTCCTTATTTTAGATTATTGTTCCACCGAAAATTTTCTTACCAAATACTCTGTTTCAGCTCACGTTGAAACAAATACGTGAAGTTATGTTATTAATTTATTAAAATCAAAATAATATTTAAGGACTAAAATAAATCGAGATAATAAAGTAGACCTTATAGGAACCAAAAAAATATATATATATATATATAACATTTACAAAAAAAATACAGCTAAACCTATTAAAAGTCTTCCAAGTTGTTCTTTTGGAATTTTGTGGGAAATTGGTCCCAAGTATCTTCCACTCTCCCATTGTCCAGCTGTCTGGTTAAAAATTCTCAGCCAATGGATCAAAATCTTCTCTTCAATTCGGTCAAGGAAGCACAACAATCTAAAATTGAGAATAAAAAAGAAAAGAGGGTCTCTTTTATTGTGGTTTTTGTTGGGTATTTTCAATATTGACCCATTTTTTCTATATTCTCTAAGATTAAAGTGGTGATGTACCATACGAGTTACCCATATATTTAGTCTTTTTAAACATAGTTATTTTTCTTAACATATTATTTACGTGCCTAGTAATTAATTTTATCTATAGGAATCGAATACAAGATTTTCAACTATTTGGTGGTTAGATTGTAATTGTATTTTTCAAAATATAGCATTACAAAAAGAGACATTTACATAAATAACATGAATGTACTTCCAAATGTAGCATAAAAGTTTAAATTTTAAAAAAAATTTATTATCCAAATCCAACTCAAACTCAAACTCGTGAAATGTAATGTAAAACATAGGAAGAAAAGTCATACTTATTGTTTGAGCCCGAAATTGATTGAGCTCGGACACGATTTAGATCGGTGTGCTCAGGATGAGCTATGGCCAACAGTCCTACACCTCCCCTGAACACTTTTTGAAACCTGCAAAACAAAGTTAGCACTCCGACGAGCAAGTTAGTTATAGTCCGAGCTAACTTGCCGAGTACTTAGGATTGCGTATCTTGCATTTAAGGCAAGGGTTTCTATTTATAGAAACTGGGCCCGACAGGGATTCTGACACACCCTAAAATCGCGGCGTGTTGTCGGGTACGGAAGAGACATTGTTACGGACTCCGTCTCACCTCGGCTCGGCACTATAGGTCCTACCCTATCCTCCGACCTGAGTACTTCGGAGTCAATTTCCATGTTTCGTCTGCGCGTTCATCCAATTCACCTTTTCAATTATGACACGTGGCAGGCTAGGATTCGCCTCCAACACTTATGGTATACGCAGAATTAAAAATGAAAAATTGTGACATTTTTTAGAATAAATATTAGATATAATCTATGCTATATTAGTGATTTATTTATTTTTTATAAAAAATATGGAATGAAGACTTCAACTTTCAATTTAAGGAAAAATTACTAATATTTTAACCTAGGTAATACATTATTATTTTATTTCTCCTAGGATCAGCCACGAATAACATCTGCAAGAAGTTTAAATTAAAAAAAAAAATTGAAATGTCATTACATTTTATAAAGAGTCATCTATATAAATAGAATAAACTAAATTTGTATTTTCAAATATAACAAAATAGTTCAAAATTTGATAAAAGTAGTACCATCCTAATCAAGCTGAAACTCAACTATAATGTAAAGTACACCAAGGAAAGTCATGCTCATGCTATATATATGTATTTTTAAAGTAGTAACGTTTAAAAATATATATTTAGATTTAAAATATATATTTTAAGCCAACCTGGACATAGCTTCAACTGGTTAAGACATGTATCCCGACCTGAAAAGTTGTTAGTTCGAATCACCATCCTCAAATGTTATTGTTGTGGTGTATATATAGTGAAATTTCTCTTTTCATTGGGTATATGTTCGTTGTTGTTGATTAATAAAGGTTAATTTGGTAACATTTTTATTTCTGGTTTATAATATTAATTTTTTAGTAAACAAGTGGAGGTGAGGGGATTCGAACACTCATGACCTTTCGATGGGAGATAAATATCAATTACTGCTGAACTAAGCTGATTATGTTGGCTTCTTGTTTATATTCATTGTTTCTCATTTATTCTTTTATAATAAATGAAAATAGAATTGGGTTTGGTAATTACTATATATTGTTTCTTTGTTTTGTTTTGTTGAAAAACAAACATGTCATGTTTGGTAACCTATCTATTGTTTCTTGATCTCTCAAATTTTAAGTTAAAAGTAAAATTTTTTATATGAAATTAAAAATTAAAATTTTATGTTATATTTATTTTTGAATATTTGTTATGCCATTTAGAAGTCAAGACTGATAAAATAATGTTTTTATTTATGTTTTGGAGAAAAAACTAAAAACGATAAAGAGAAAATTAAACAAGAAACTTAATTTTGTTATTTTCAAAATTTCTACATAATTTTAGAAACATCTTTTAAAAATAAAAGACGAGAAACAAAAATAATTACTAAATACTTATATTTCTAAAATTTAAAAATAAAAAATAAGAAACAGAGATGTTACTAAACCGTCCTACTCAAGTTATTTTCGAAAGTGAGAAGTGTTTATTCCTCTCATAAGCTAAGATGGGAGTTAGGTCTTCCTATCCACATTGCATGATTGGCTGCAATAATTAAAAAGGAATACGTCATATAACATTAATATATCTATGTTTAGGAGTTGTTCTTATCAAGCCAAGACTTGGGAGTCAAAATCCTTCCTAAGAATATTAAGAGAAGAGGAGGGCATTTACGACCTTATTTTTCTCTATTAATAACTTTTCTATTTAAGTTGTTATTATTTTTCAATAATATAATAGCTACTTGTTCCAATCAAATTCGTTTATTGTGTTTTTTCTTTTTCTTTTTTGGGTTGGCCTTTAGAGAGAGTCCTTAGAAGATCATACCATGTGGAATGAGTATTTGTGTCCAAATAAAATACATTTTATAAAATTATAACTTTTTGACTGTCTCTTAGTAATGGAGCAGGCACAGATATCCTCCAATTATAGAGATAAAAAACTAAAGGGCTATTGATTTCAACTTATAAAATAAAAATTAGAATGCTTTTGGAATTTCGATTAGCCACTAACAATTTATTATTATTTCTATTTCTTAATTTTTAAGATACGTTGATGCTGGTTTTTTGGCGGGTGTCATGCGAGTGTCAGGTACATCTTTGTCTCCAAGCTTTAGCATCAATGTGGTGCTTTGTCGACTGCACATCAACGCCTAAGCTAGAACTTAAGATGGGCACAAATGAGTACTTAGGATATTAATAACTCAAGGCGGAGATTTTTTTGAGGGAAAATACTTGGCTCCTCAATAATGTGGATGAACCTTGTCCTTCCCTATTAAATATGTTTGACAACTAGGAGAGAGAAATGTAAAACATATATATATATATATATATATATTTTTAAATAATAACGAGTTGTCAAATATTAAATGGTGCGGTAAGGTTCTTATTGAGGAGCTAATTTGGTCACCCCAGTGACTAACTGCTATAAAAATATCTAAAACCTATCAATTTTAATTTTAGGTCATATTTTGGGGGATGGAAGAATTCTACAATTGAAGGTTTAGGAGAATCATGTTATTTTCCATTCCTTTTCTTTTATGATAAATTTTAATGAAAAAAATTATTTTAAAAAATATAGAAATTAAAATAATAATTTAACCTTAAAAATTTGTCTATATATCTTGAAATTTATAAATTTTGTGACCAAAACAAGTACAATTATTACCACGGGCCAAATGACTTTGATATATTTTTAGTATCATATTCCAGTTAAAAAAAAAACAAATACATAAACCAAATGTATTATAGGGTTATTACAATCACATCTATAAATTTTCAACTTAATTAGTCACACCGAAGTTAACAAAATTGTTGCAATTAAACCGACCAATATAAC